CTTTCTTTCTTTCTTTCCTTTCTTTCTTTCATTCTTTCTTTCTTTCTCTCTTTCTTTCTTTCTGAGGCAATTGGTTAATTGGAAAAAGTACTAGAGGGGTTTGTTTGCCATTTTATTTTCCATCTCATCTTACAGATGAGGAAATGGAGGCAAACAGAGTGAAGTGACTTGCCCAGGGTCACATAGCTAGTATCTGAGGCCAGATTTGAACTCAGCTCTTCCGGACTCCAGGACTAGCACTCTATCCATTGCACTACCCTGCTGCCCCCTCTCAACTCTTTTCTCAAAGGAACTGTTCACAAAATATAGGCACTCAAAGGCTTCAGCTGACTGTCATAATAATAGCTAAAAAATATATAGTATTGTAAGGCTTGCAAAGTGCTTTTCATATATAGAGAGATATAGATATATAGAGAGAGTTATAGATATAGATAGATAGATAGATATAGATAGATAGATAGATAGATAGATAGATAGATAGATAGATAGATAGATAGATAGATAGATGACCCCCTCAACAATCCAATGGGAGGGTGCTATTATTATTGGCATTTTACAGATAAGAAACTGAGATTAAATGACTTACCAAAGCCACATATGACAAGATTCAAACTCAGTTCTTCCAAATCCAGTTGCCCTACCCACTTATCTGCCACATCTGTACATCAAAGGTCATACATTTGACTGGACAGTTGAATAGATAATGGGCCTTGGTCCCTGGGTTTAGCACTCTCCTTGTGCCTTTCCCCTGTTCATTCATTTACATAAAAGAGTTAGTCTGGGGGTTGGATTTTCCAAGACAACCTTGAACCTAAGGTATGTGGTCCTGAAACGTCAGGAGGGGGTGTCCCTAGTGCACCCAAGCAGGAAATTTCTGAGTAGCGTGCAGCTCTGGGTCGTCTTTCATTTCTTAATCCTGACGCAGATTCTCTAATGAAATTTTTCATCCTCCCCTGTGCCCTTCTTAGCTCTGAAGTGACTATGTACCAATGTATAAATTGACTTAATTTGGAAGATATCTCAAAGTCTTCCCATGATTTCTCTGAACTCTCATCTTCTGGAGCAGATGTTGGAACACGATCTGCAGTTACCTTCCCGTTCTTTTGGCTTATGATCGTCATGAGGAAAGTTATGAACTTCAAAGAAATCTCATGAGAAAGGTCCAAAACTAGAAAGCCTTATATTACCTAGAAGAAAATCTTCTCTTCAAACCAAGCTTAAAGGTAGGGTTAACGACAGGCAGGTCTCTGAGCCAGTAGAAGTTAAATTCATCTCAATTCAAGGAGCACTTATTAAGCACCATCTGTGTACATAGCATTGAGCTAAGTCAGGCTCTGAGAAAGAGACCAAAATAAATAAGAGGGTGAACTAACTGAACACTGAACTAACCATTTAGAAGAACAAACTACACTTTAGGAAGACTTTGGTGTAATTAGCAATAGAATGGTGGCAAACCAACCATTATTCAAAAGATTTTTTGTTTGTTTGTTTGTTTACTGCAAAGACTGGCTGTGTCTCCATTGACCATGGAATCCAAGGCTAAATTTACTAAAGTTGAAACTATTTACCCATTCTCTTCAGTATGTTAGCAACTAGGAACTGCAAGGGTTCTTTTAACCTTTAGCCCTCCAATTAGCCAGCAATGTGACAGTGGGCAAGTCCCTTAAAAATGAAGCCTCAGTTTCCTCATATGAAAAATAAGTATATGTAGGTAATCAATCTGATGTTAGGCAACATGGGTTGGTGAAAATACCCCTGGATTTGGAGTCAGAGGACTTGGAGTGCAGGCCTTTAACTCCAAAATAACTGGGTTCCAGACTTGCTCTGGTGCATGCTGGCTGTGTGACTCTGAGCAAGTCAGTCAACCTCTCTAGGATTATAGATGGCAGCTGCTGACCTGCATGGATAGAGGGCAATTCCTTGAAGGAAGTTCTCTATACCTGTGAAATCGTAGGTCTGGTCCAAAAGAAAAAGTAACGAAAAGCTTCCAAACAATTTTGTTCTTCAGTCATGTCCAACTCTTCATGACCATACTTGGGGATTGCTTGGCAGAGATACTAGAGTGATTTACCATTTCCTTCTCCAGCTCATTTGACAGATGAGGAGATTGAAGCAAAGAGGGTTTGCCCAGGATCACAGTTAGTAAATGTCCAAGGCTGGATTTGAACTTAGGTCTTCCCGACTCAAGACCCAGTCATCTATCCACTGCACCACCTTGGAGCTATGTAAAAGACTGATTTGAGAAGTAGTGGGTTCCCCCTTCCTGGAGGTCTTCAAACAAGAGTGTAACTAATTATCTGGTATGCTGTTGAGGGGATTCCTGTGGTTCAGATACAGATTGAAGTAGAAAGCCACTGAGGCACCCTCTGACTCTCATATGCAATGATTTCATAATTTGCTCTCAAGGTGCTTCTGCAGTACAGTGGAAAGAGCGCTAGCTCCGGGGTCAGAGAATCACCAGAGGCAATCTTGCCGCTGGTGCTTTTCTCCATCTATGTGACGGTAAGCAGGTTGTTCACACTCCCTGGGCCTCAGGAAGCTGGCCTCTGAAGTGCCTTCTAGGGACTTCTCTCCAGGATTCTGCGCCTCTAAACTCATCTCATAAAGCTCCTTGGAGAGAGATCCAGTTCAGCACTACTTCAACTAATCAGGATTCACTTACTAAAAGAAGAAAGTTTTGAGAATCTCTCATGAGAAAGAAAGTCCGTTCCAGAAATAACATAGTACTTTTCTCAGGGGAAAACAAAATCAAAAAGAGGGGGAAAAAAACGCCCTTCCTTGGGTGTGAGGTCACCCAGGAAACAAATATAATGAAACCACTGTAATTGATTCAAAGCATCTGGTTCGCTCAATAAATGCAGCATCCTGATTCTTTGAGAAGGAGTCAGCAGAACAAATCATTTCCTCCTACAACAGCCAGGGAAGCTGACTCCCCTAACGAACAGTGATGCTCTTTGGTCCTGCTCCTCAGATTATTTCATACAAGACCCGGGGCTCAAAAGAGACATTAGATAATCTTTCCAGCTGTCAGCTGGACAGCCAGCTTGGGCCGAGGCACATTTGGGCTTCTCTAAACATATGTTCCTGGTGTGTTATGCTACATTTCTAATTCTAAAGCTAGGAAATCAGATTAAATTAGCCTACCATGGAAATGTGAGGGGAATAAATGGGCTCTGAATGCCTCCAACAGGAATCCCAAAGTGCATGCATTAGATTAGCAGCAACTATCAGTTGCAGAATTTCTTGTACCCCTTTGTTCTCCCTGTTTTCAACACTGTCTCAGGCTGCTCCTGAGGGTCACAGTTAATTAAATAAATATACCTTAAATGATGGAAATTGAGTTGGAGGCTTTTAGAATTCTCTTTTCATCATCTAATTACATGGATGGCATTTATGAGTAGCCTAACTCCAAGTTAATTCCCTTCTCCATCTCCCCAGCTATCACACAAACTGTAAAACATCAAACTGTGAAACCACAGGGTGGGTGGGTGAGTGGATAGACTCCACTGAAGAACTAACATCAGCTTTCTGAAAGCCATTCCTTTTTTTTTTTTTGGGGGGGGGAGTGTTCTGAAGCTAGCTACAGTAGCCAGAAAGCACCTTATATGCCATGAGTGAAGGATTGCTCAAGCCTTTACCCCTTGGCATGTGTGGGACAGAGAGGAGGCTTCAGTGATTCCCAGCTCCAGATTAGGCCTAAAAGTGCAAAGAAAACTGTCAAAGGAAATTACAGAATTCCTCCAACTTCCATTAAAAACCCAGAACAAGCCTCTCCCCTCCATGACAATCCCCTATGCCCAGCTCACACCATCACACTCAACAATGACATTATAGTCTCAGTCCCCTAGTAATGGGCAACTAGGTGCAGCCAGGATAGACCTGGAGTCAGGAAGACTCATCTTTGTGAGTTCAAAATCCAGCCTCAGACATTCTAGCTGTGTGACCTTGGACAAGTCACTTAGCCCAGTTTACCTCAGTTTCCTCATCTGTAAAATGAGAAGGAAATAGCAAACCACTCCAGTTTTTTTGCTAAGAACAGTTCCAGTTCTTTGCTGAGAAAACCCCAAATGGGGTTATGAAGAGTCAGTCACGATTGAAACTGAACAACCTCCAATGATAGCCAGAAAGCCCTATAGTAATTGTAGACTCACTACTGTTCTTTGATAAAATGGCTAGCTTCCTCCTTAGTACCCTCCCAACCCTTCCTTTCTGTCTCAAGTTTTGGAGTGGTAAGAGAGCTTAGGGATTATGCCATTTCTCTGCTAAGCCAGACCGCTCAGCTGTTGCTGGTAGCCTCTCTCCCTTCTGCTCAAGTGCTGAGGAAGAGGAAGACTTCAGCTGTCATTGAACAGTCTCTTCAGACCCTTCAATGCTCCCGAGGTGGCTGCCTGTCACATCCATCTCAAGGTTGCTGCTCAGTCATCAAGGAAGCAAACACAAAAGAGACAGTGATTACCATGAGCTCACAGCCACCATTGGCCTGGTAAGGAGACAGGGCAGGCTTTCTCTTCCTCTACCCCATCCCCAATTTTGGGGAGGAATCTCAAAACAATACTGCCTCCTCAAAACCCCAAAGGAAAAGAGAACACCAAAAGAGTGGGTCTCCTCTTTTGTACTCCCACTTAAACTCAGCTCAGCAACCCCTGTGTCATCAGTTCTGTAGCCAATTTTAAAACTTTTCATCATTACACAATACAAACTCTGTACTCATCCCTATGGAGTACAACCAGGAAAGAAATATCAGCACATGTTTCAAGCACTGTCCCTTACCCCCAGGCTAAATAATCTCTATTACATCCCAACAATACTGGGCACCCATAATTTCTCCAACACATCCTTACCAAGGTATAAGGCAATCCGATTGGAGTCCCTGACTTATGTAATGATAGGACAAGCAGGCTTAGTACAAAAAGAAAGAAAATGGAATGATCTTGTGTGGGCCTACTACAAGGAATTAATCAGTTGGGGCCAATTACTCTAGGCCAGCAGGCAGAACTTACCCTGCACACCTGTAGTCCATAAGGATCTCACAATATAGCAAGCAGTCTAGGATTTCTAAAAATCAAAAAGAAAAGAAACAAAATAAACATTTATGAGCTAACAGAGTGTGCTCTAGGCAAACTGGTAGGCACCAGTTTCTAGGCACCATTCTAGGAATGTAAATTCCTCATATTAACTACAATATGTGACTAAGTAGTTAGATGATCTTAAACAAAGAAGTTCAGTAATTTAACAGATATCAGTATGTACTCATTTGAATAAGCAAAAGTTTTCTCATTAGAGCTGATCTGACCTGTAAGGAAACACACCAGAAAACTGACTTCTAAATTACATTCTGGAGAGGGGAAGAGAGACAGAGACAGAGAGACAGAGACAGAAAGAGACACAGAGAGAGACAGAGAGAGGGGGGGGGGAAAGGGACAGGGGCAAAGGGAGAGGGGGAAAGGGAGGGAAAAGGAGAGGGGGAGAGGGAGGGAGAGGAAGAGGGAGAGGGAGGGGAGGGGGAGGGAAGAGAGAGAGAGATTCTCATTGTATTCACTGGATCACTATAAGCTAGGATATCCTTGTTGAGGCCCAGGAAGAGAATCTACCCAGTGGTTCCCACCCTATTAAAAGGGCATAAAAATATACCCCAGATAAAACTTCCACATACAGCACCCCCTTGAGTTTTTCCCTCAACTAGGTACTCACTCATACTGGAACTCATGCGTTGGGGTCTCCAGAGGACAGCTGACTCTATCTTTAATGTTTTCATAGAAGTTTAGGTCAGTCTCATATAAGGATCACAACACGTAAATCTATTTGGGCATGTAGGGTAATATATATAAGATGGTGACCTGCCTGTAACAAATACTGAGGATGGTGATTTCTCATGTCAGATTTAGTGGAGCTTAAAGCAAATAATTAATATATAGGGAAATAAGAGAAGTGTTCTTAATCAATAAGAGAATAGTAATTAGAGATTATAATAATATAATAATTAGAGAATAATAGTAGGAGAATTAATAATGAGTTTTATCAGAGTATCACAAGTTTAGGAGGAAAAGGACCACAAAGTGCCAGTAATAAACACAAAGGGGACATATGTAAGGTATTTATATGTGGCCAAAGGGATTAACATACACAGGATACTGGTAGTCTACCATTCTCTCATTGGAGTCCTGATAAAGTTCCTCTTAGTTACAGCCTCTTCGAGGCTTCAAGGATCAGTGCCTTTCTAGAGCCTCCTCACCCTTGTAGGATCTAGCCCAGGGACTGAGAACCTGCAGCCTCAAGGCCACATGTGACCCTCTAGGTCCTCAAGTGCGGCCCTTTGACTGAATTCAAACCTTTGGATTCTGTCAAAGGGCTGCACTTGAGGACCTAGAGGGCCACATGCGGCCTCGCGGCCACAAGTTGCCCACCCCTCAAACTATTACTTCCCTCCCCCTTGTAGGGGCAAGCTTCCTGAAGCTGGGCGCAGTCCTCAGTCATAGTCCTTTTTTTTCCTTTAGGTAATTGGGGTTAAGTGACCTGCCCAGGGTCACACAGCTAGTAAGTGTCTGAGGCCAAATTTGAACTCGGGTCCTCCTGAATCCAGGGCTGTTGCTCTATCCATTGTGCCATCTAGCTGTCCCTGTCATAGTCTTTCTGTAACTTTCTACCATCGCCTCCTCTGCAGCCATCAGCTGTTACTACTCCAGTGACCCTGTTAACCTATTGCCTTTAGGGGAGACTGTTACCACCATCTCTGCCTGCCAATGGCAACTCTGGTAGAAGCTTTTGATTTCCCAAACATTCAAGTCACTGGACACTTTCATCCCAAAATCTTTACTTGCGTAAAATTAGAAGAAAAAAAAACCATGAAGGGAATGGAGTAGCCACGTATTTCACTGCTGCCATGGCTGAATGGGAGACAGAACTACCAATTCATAGAACTAGCTCAATGGATTCCTGTCTCCTCAAAGCCACAAAAAAAACCCCAAAAAAACAGTGACAAAGAGGTGGGCTGCCCATTTAGTGTACCCATTCACTTCTGGCTCAGCTACCTATGAGCACTGAGTTCTTCCAGATCTACATTCAGTTAAACGACTTTTTGTTATTATACAGGGCAGACCCCTGAGTCATCCACATGGTTTCTTGGACTGAAACAAGGAAGGGGTATCTGCCCATTCTTCAAGGATTGAGCCCCCATAAGCTAATCCACCCTTATTACATACATGATTAGAGGATTCAATGACATTGCTAAAACTGTCTACCCTAGGGGCAGCTAAGTGGTGTAATGGATACAGCACCAGCCCTGAAGTCAGGAGGACCTGAGTTCAAATCTGCCCTCAGACCCATAATACTTACTAGCTGTGTGACCCTGGGCAAGTCACTTAACCCCATTGCCTAGCCAAAAAAATAAATAAATAAAATAAAATTGTCTACCCTGATTGTTAATAGCAACAATAACAGCTAACATTTATATAGCACTTACTACGTGCCAGGCACTGTGCTAGGCACTTTATTATCTCGTTTGATATTCACAACAATCCTAGGAGGTAGGTGCTAATATTATCTCCATTTTACAGATAAGGAACCTGAGGCAAACAGAGATTAAGTGACTTGCCTCCTATTACACAGCTGGTAAGTGTCTGAGGCCAGATTTGAACTCAAGTCTTACTGGCTCCAGGCCTGGCATTCTACCTGTAATGGCTAGCATTTATCTAGCATTTTAAGGGTTGCAAAGCACTTTACAAAGATCGTCTCATGTTATCCTCACGAAAACCTTATGAGGTAGACACCATTATTATCCCCGTTTTACAGAGTATAAGTGCTTTGCCCAGGTCGCCCAGCTAAAAAGTGTATGATGCAAGATTTGAACTCAGGTCTTCTGACCTCAAGACCAGCACTCTTTCTACTGTGCCATCTAGTTGACTCATAATGAAACACCCTGGGGGTAGCTAGATGGCGCAGTGGATAGAGCATCAGCCCTGGAATCAGGAGGACCTGAGTTCAAATCCGACCTCAGACACATAACATTCACTAGCTATGTGACTCTGGGCAAGTCACTTAACCCCACTTGCCACACTAGTGAAAAAAAATGATGAAACCCCCTCCACAGGATCCCTCCAGAGTGTGTACCCATTACATAATGGGTCAAGTTCAAGGTCTTTAACCACAATGCTGAGAGTTCATTCAAAGGACCAAACCCAGACTAGCCTACTTTCCATTTTTTTGTGCTCTCCAGCCTATTTTTACACTCCTTTCAGATAACCATTCACAACAAAGAAGGCAAAAATGGCACAAAGAGCTCTACATTCTAGGGGCAGCTAGGTGGCACAGAGGATAGTGCGCTGGGCCTAGAGTCAGGAAGACTCACCTTCCTGAGTTCAAATCCAGCCTCAGACACGGTCTAGCTGTGTGACCTTGGACAAGTCACTTAACCTTATTTGCCTCAGTTTCCTCATCTGTAAAATGAGCTGGAAAAGGAAATGGCAAAACACTCCAGTATCTTTGCCAAGAAAACCCCAAATGGAGTCAAGAAGAGTCAGACATGACTGAAAAATAACAATACATCCTAGTCCCAACTCCACTAATAACCAGCTGTGGGACCTTGGGCAGCTATTTTACCCCTCTGGGCTCATTTCCTCACTCGTTAAAAGAGTAAAGAGACAAGATGGTCCCTTCAATCTATATTTTACCTAGTCATTCCACTCTAACTTCTGAACATTTTCTGAGTTGGGTTCTCATCCTGGAATGCACTCACCCAAGTTCATCAGTCTTTCCTCTTCATTCAGACAGTTCTTAGAATCCTACCTTCTCCTCCACGAAGACTTGGCAAAATAATTCCATAACCAGCGGTGAATTCCTCCCCATGTCATCCCACAGCACTCATTATTCTCTATTACTCACTAGCTTCTACAACTGGCACTTTTCTTCTCACTAGGACACCATGTTAATGAACTGTTTCCTTGCTTGTTTAAGGCTGCATTTCATTCTGCCCTGGAAAGCTGCTATGTCGGGCTGCACTGAAGCTGCCTGCCCTCAGTTCTAAGTTCTTCAGGCAGAGACTCTGCAGTACAGCATCTCAATCAGGATCAGAATAGAAATCAAGTTCCATTATTTCTCCTAACACATGATTCATTGAGAGTAATGACAAGATGGTGGCAAGAGGAGAACCTAGGGGGAGCTTCTCTAGGCATGAGGTTGTTTTCACCAAGTCAGTGAGGTGCAGCAAAAAGAAGACTAGATTTAGAGTCAAAGAGACAGCATGGTATAGTGGAGAGGGGACTGGATTGAGAGTGAGAAGAGCATTATATAATATGATACAATTATATGTATCTAATTATATACAATCACATTTATGTGGTGCTTTAAAGTTTGCAAAGTGCTTTACATACATTATTTCATTTGATCAAAATAATCTTGTAAGATACTATTATTAATAATATTGTTATCATCATCATCATTATTATCCCTATTTTACAGATAGGGTAGTAAACATTTATTAAGCATCTACTATATGCCAGGTACTTGCTATGCATTGGGGATACAAAGAAAGGCAAAAAACAATCCCTGCCTTCAATGAGCTCACAATCTACTGGGGAAAACAACACACAAATGACTACGTACAAGCTATATACAGGGGCAGTTAAGTGGCATAGTGGATAGAACACCTGGCCTAGGGTAAGGAAGACCTAAATTCAAATCTGGCCTCAAACATTTACTAGCTGTGTGACCCTGGGCAAGTCACTTAACCCTGTTTGCCTCAATTTCTTCATCTGTAAAAAAAAAATGAGCTGGAGATGGAAATGGCAAACCAATCCAGTATCTCTGCCAAGAAAACCCCAAATGAGGTCATGAAGAGTTGGATACAAGTGGATAACAACAACTACAGGATAAATTGGAAGTAATGGACAGAGGGCAGGTACTAGAATTAAGATGCATTGGGTAAGGCTTCTTGCAGAAGGTGGCATTTTGGCTGGGAGAAAGCAGGGAAGTCATATGTCAGAGACAAAAAGGGAGAGCATCCCATGCGTGAGGGGCAGCCAGCAAAAATATGCAGAGATGAGAGACAGAGCGTAAGGGTA